ATCTGAACGTTTCTTTGAACATTTCAAGTTTGTAGACATTAAGCTTTGACTTTAGTTAATTTCAGATAAATTAAAAAACCCTTTATAGTCATTTCAGCACAAAAATAAACTATTATTTACAGAATTATAAACACTTGGTCTGCCGTGTCGTTGTTTTAGATCTAAGGGCATGCGCGTGTTTACAGGAAATCGTTTTTAGTTGTCTAGACCGGAAGTAGTACTTTTCATTAAAAAAGCCATATAATAAACGAGTTATTAACCTCGCTTGCTTGGTCTGTACGGGAAAATATCAGACCTCGGTCTTTTATGTACTGTCAAGACCTCGCGCTCGGTTAATAACCTCTTAATATAAAATAACTTGCTGGGYCCAGTTGTACAAGGCCTGAATAGTGCCATCCAGCGGATAAATCCTTATCCAGCGGATCAAATCTACATGTAAATAAAACCTTTCGACTGGATAACTTTATCCACTGGATAGTGCTATCTAGGCTTTGTACAACAGGCCCCAGAACATTACATCTTGATGAGATGGTGCAGGATGTCTTTCCTGTATTAAAATAAAACTGTGAGAATTAGACTGTATAGTTAAGAAATAAATGTACCATCCCAAGTAGAGTAAGAGGTGTTCTCCCATATATTGACTATATGGGGATTATTCTCTAAACTTTCCCAAGCTTCATGTTATCTATCTAATTTTGGGTATATTATGTATGCAAAATGGATGCTATATTTACCAGCTGTTTATGAAAGAACACTACGAGTCCAATACACTTACAGTTACCATTCTCATATGGTAGTTTGCTATTAAGAATCTTTCTATTTGTCATTTGGTATAAAAATTTCTAATTTTAACATGGTTATAGCCTTTTCAAAATCTTGGTTAAAATAAAAAAAACCTTCCCCAATCCAGTRAGTTCCCCAGGACTGTTAGAAAGTCTTCAAAACATATCAAGTCAGTCAGATGTACAATTTTGAAATGCTCATTATTTTTTCCACTTTTTCATCTGATATACAATGTACTCGACACAATATATGTACCTGTTGCTCTGCTGTTGGTGTTGGTGTTGTACTGCAATGTAAACATTAGGCATTATACATGCATCAGGAGTTCCAAGGAAACAATAGATTCCGCCATCTTGGAAAGTGAGCACCAAATAACAATATGACCTGATATTCMTATCTTATTTCAAGAAATTATAATGGATGCACGTGAACCAACTGGTTACAATATTACATTAATATGAACATAGCACCTTGTAAATCTTAGTTMAGACCAAAGTAAATATTGATATTTGGTGCTCACTTTCCAATATGGCGAAATCTATTGTTTTCTTGGAACTCCTGATGCATGTATTGGAATCACTTATGAATTATCACTTTGTGCGTTCCACAATATTTTTCCATTAAGCAATAGCTATGTGCAGTGCTGCAATTTGGACCTAACCGGGAACTGTTGTTTTGTTGTGTTTTTTAAGCAGAAAAAGTATTATTTACATGAGAAAAAATGTTCTAGTCCAAATTTTAGCAAGATAGTTATATATTYAAAGCTGTTAAAGTGCAACTTTGGAAATGAGGCATTAGCCACACAACATTCTTGCTTGTAWTATGCGCATTATTCCTCATTATTGTGAAATTCATATCTATMTGGCCTGTGTCACATGCAGTCCATGACAGCCTATTTTTATACAAGAGTACTAACATTAAAATGAACCCTCAAACTGGGTACAATGTATAAGTTAAAATGTTTACTTACATGGTACTAGAAGGTGATGCAGGAATGGTATCATCATTATCAAGAATACTTGTATTGGCAAACCCTTTAAATGTCACTTCTGGATCTTCACAGCATACAGCAATTGGTGTATCACACACTTCCATATATAGTGTGCAGTTTTCCACATTTTTCACTGGATCTGAAGGAGGTATGGCTTTTCCTTGGCAATMATAAAGAATGAAGTTTTCAGGAAAAACATCAAGTGAACCAATCCAGTCGTAAACAGCCATGATACTCTCAAAAATGGGAAAAGAGCGGATTATTTTACCCATGGCAATATGGTTCACTGCYATCTTTACTTGGGGGGTCCCTTGGTCAGGCTGTGGTGGTACTCTGGTAASCCTTGCCAATCTAATATCTTCAAGTCTCTTTTCCTCTTTATCTTCTTTTTCTTTCACTTCTCTCTTGTTGTTTTCCTTTTCTTGATCAGAAGCAAGAGACTCTTGGAATAACTGATCTTGTTCTTRGCGTATTTTKTGGCGCTCTTCTGATGATCCAATGAGATTTGAAGCTGTACTATCATCAAAAACGGAACCCGTAAGGTCTCCATCACCACTGTCAGCTGTCTCCACTTTCTTTTCTCCTGCTTCTTTTTTTACAGCTGGATACGAATTGATATACTGAATATCATCATCTTCAGAATCTTTATCTAAATCCAAATCTTCATCAAGTAGTTTAGTTTTTCTTGATTTGAGGTTAAGTCTACAAGTAGTTAATTTTTTGCTGTCTATGTACCCTTGTACTGTAAAAGGCTCGGCATCACCATCTGTTTCTGGAATGCAGTCACCTTTAAAACTTCCAAGGTCGAATTCCATGTCAATGCATTCACCTTTTCCAGACGTTCCATTTTTTCCAACAATTTTTTAGCTTCCTCTATAATCATTTTCTTTGTTGAATTACAAGGTACATCAAGTTTTCTTGGTCCCCCATTTGCCAGTCTAACTCCCATAAATTTCTGATTCTTTGGACAGTAGTGAAGCCACCCAAGAGTTATCTTGCGTGTTTTTTGTCTTTCGGGAGCACTTCCAGAAGATAACTTATTATCCCTTATGACTTTTTTCTTCTGTTTTTCACCTTGTACATTTAGCTGTTCCAACAGCTCTCGTTTTCTCCTGTTATAGTCAGTTTCAGTTGTGCTGGCACTTGGAGTAAAAGTTTGACGCTGGCAAAAAGCCTTTAGGGCAAACAAATCACCCTTTGCCTTCAGTCCCAATTCTTCAAGGCACTCAGTAGTTGCAAATGACACTGCTGAGACATCCATCTGAAATATATTAATTAATATGTTTTGATCCACCTCAATGCAGTCATACCACATTTCTTTGAGCTCTTAAAATTTTGCATTTTAATCAAGAAAGCGNGGAAATAAAAAATGCATCCGTTACTTTAAGCACCTTTTAGAGTAAAGCTGTACTATACAGGAATTGAATTAAAATATTTTGAAATGGCAAAAATTATAGAAATTTTTTGTTTGGATGATGTCATTTGACAACATCACGTGGTGACGTCATCAAACTCAAGAAATTGCTTGCTTAGCAACAGGCTCCAGAAATAGGTCCCAGCACCCTTTATAAGTGATGTCTCAGTCTACATATTCATATTGATTTTGAGGATTAAGTTTCTTTGAATCATTATTGATGCATGATTGATTTTATATATAATAGAGTGTAAGAGAGTGTGTTGTAGTTAAAAGTACAAATATACTTCTTGGAGAATATACAAGTATTCATGATCATGAACATGGATGCATGTTTGAAACGTAATGTAAGAATAGAACAGCTTCACAACTAGGGGTTCAAAATATATGGCGAAGATGGTTCTTTGTTAGTGTGTTGTGAGAGAGTCAAGTTTTAGCACTTTAGAGAGTTACTTGTAAAACTATAAAACAACTCTACAGTAAGATACTTTTGCTAAGTTACAAAATTCGGAGTGTCTAAACGTCAGGCAGTCGAATTTTGTCTTTAAAAATCGTCGGAACAACCGTAATTTCAATTAATACAACAAGGGGAATGCAATAAAGACMGCAATAATACTGTTTGACAAGTTTCAAACACAACCAAAGCACTTTGATTTTTCGACTGCCTGACGTTTTGTCCCAGAACTAAACGTCAGGCATTCGATTTTTTTTAAATCGTCAGTACAATAGTAATTTCAATTCAATACGACAAATAGAATTGCAATAAAGACAGAAATAATACTGTTCGGCAAGTTTGCATACGCAAACACGCGGCACTTTGAGATTTTTCGACTGCCTGACGTTTAGTCCCAGAACTAAACGTCAAGCTGTCGATTTTTTTTTTTTTTTTTGAAAAATCGTCACAACAACAGTAATTTCAATTGATACAGCAAGAGAAATGCAATAAAGACTGAAATAATACTGTTCGTCAATTAAGTTTGTATACACAAGCAGCGGCAGTTTGACATTTTCATTTTTAGTTCTAGGACTAAACGTCAGGCAGTCAAATTTTTGAAAAATACAGACATACCAGAGTTGTGGAAGTGAAATTTTCTAACCCTTTCTGTACCAGACCGTCCCCCTTCAAACATTACCACAACAATTTATCATTGTCCCAGCAGCCTATAATTAGACCATTGTTTCTTCATTTTGAAGGGATAATTATTAGGATATTTGATAGGCAGTTAATGATAAAAATAATTGGTTCACTGAATAAACAGATAAAAAAGTGTTTTATTTAATTCAATAGCCAGAACAACAAAGACAAACAAAGTATATCAAATGTATAAAGTGAACAATAGATGCATTAAATGTCCTTATCAACTGCATAYCAAATATCATARYCCTTATCCCTTCAAAATGAAGAAAGAATGGTCCAATTATAGGCCCTGCACCATTCACTGGATGCTTGGGGACAATGATAAATTGTTCTGGTAAAGGTTGAGGGGGGACGGGAAGGGTCACGATATTTTGCCCGTCTAATATCAGTAGAAAATTTCACTTCCCCACTATTGTTGGTCACCCTATTCCCAGTACCCACTTTTCAATTTCCACCCCCCCTCCCCCTGCTAATTTTTTTAAGACCTTATTTCCGTCTTTATTCCATTTATCTTGTACTATTAATTGAAATTACAGTTGTTCCGACGACTATAGTCTGGGACTAAACGTCAGGAAGTCGAAAAATCTCAAAATGCCGTGCTTGTTTTGAAACTTGTCGAGCAGTATTATTTCGGTCTTTAGTGCATTTCCCTTGATGTATTAATTGAATTACGGTTATTTCCGACGATTTTTCACAAAAAACATTTCTGCCTGATGTTTAGTTCTGGGACTAAACGTCAGGCAGTCAAAAAATCTCATAGTGCCGTTCTTGTGACTATCCAAACTTGTCGAACAGTATTATTTCGGTCTTTATTGCATTTCCCTTGTTGTATTAATTGAAATTACGGTTGTTCCGACGATTTTTCACACAAAAATTCGACTGCCTGACGTTTAGTTCTGGGACTAAACGTCAGGCAGTCAAAAWATCTCAGAATGCAGTGCTTGTGTTTGAAACTTGTCGAACAGTATTATTTCGGTCTTTATTGCATTCCCCTTTTTTTGAAATTGAAATTACGGCGGTTTCGACGATTTTTTTTAAGAAAMAATTCGACTGCCTGACGTTTACACAATATGAAAGGATATGATAGCTACCTGATTATTAAAATTAATTTAAAATCTTAAAGCAACATATTCCCGTTGTTGACAAAATTTCTCTACTTCTTCGAAAAGGTGTCTACCCCTACGACTACATGGATAGCGTGTCAAAATTTGACGAAYCWASCCTTCCACCCAAARAARCTTTCTATAGTTCTCTCATAGACGAGCATATTAGCGATGCTGATTATCTTCATGCTCAAAATGTCTTCAACTCTATTCAAAAGTCTAATCTTGGTGACTACCATGATCTCTACCTCCTAACTGATGTTCTGTTATTAGCTGATGTTTTTGAAAATTTTAGAAATATTTGTCTTAAATACTACAAACTTGATCCTGTACACTATTATACAAGTCCCGGACTWACTTGGGCAGCTTGTCTCAAAATGACTGGTGTTGAACTTGAACTTTTGACTCACCCGGATATGCATCTTTTTATCGAAGATGGTCTAAGAGGCCGCATAAGTATGCTAAGTCACCGTTACACCAAAGCAAACAACAAATATGCACCAAATCATAACCCTTCACTGCCAAGTAATATATCATGTATCTGGAAGCACGGCATTTTGAGATTTTTCGAGTGCCTGACGTTTAGTCCCAGACTGTCCCAGAACTAAACGTCAGGCAGTCGATGTTTTTTTTGAAAAATCGTCGATTCAACCGTAATTTTAATCAATACAACAAGGGAATGCACTAAAGACCCAAAATAATACTATTGGACAAGTTTGCATAGTCACAAACCCCGGTCACAAGCACGGCACTTTGAGATTTTTCGACTGGCTGACGTCTAGTCCCAGAACTAAACGTCAGGCAGTCTATGTTTTTGGGAAAAGTCGTCGGAACAACTGTAATTTCAATTAATAGCACAAGAGAACTGGAATCAAGACCGAAATAAGGGTCTAGTCAAAAGTTAGCAGGGGAAGGGGAGGTTGAAATTGAAAAGTGGGTACTGGGAATAGGGTGACCAATCATAGTGGGGAAGTGAAATTTTCTAACCCTACTGATATTAGACAGGCAAAATATCGTGACCTTCCCCGTCCCCATTCAACCACCAGAAAAATTTTTCATTGTCCACAATTAGCATCCAGTGAATCAGTGGTGCAGGGCCTATAATTGAACCATTCTTTCTTCATTTTCAAGGGATAAGGATTAGGATATTTGATAGGCAGTTGATTAGGACATTTGATTCATCTATTCTAAGTATTGCTTACTTTATACATTTGATATCTTAGTGTTGTTGTGGCTATTGAACAAAATAAAACACTTTCTTTATCTATTTATACTGTGAACCAATTGTTATTATTATTAACTGCCTATCAAATATCCTAATAATTATCACTTCATTCAAAAGAAACAATGGTCTAATTATAGTTGCACTATCTTTCACTGGCTGCTTGGCGGCAATGATAAATTGTTRTGGTTATGGTTGAAGGGGGATGGTCTGATACAGAGAGGGTTAGTAAATTTCACTTCATCCACAACTCTRGTATGTCATCACCTTATYCTCAGTACCCAGTTTTCAATTTCCACCTCCCCTTCTCACTGCTAATTTCTGACAAGACCCTTATTTCGGTCTTTATTCTATTTCTATTGTGCTATTAAGACTTTTCACACACAAAATCGACTGCCTGACGTTTAGTTCTGGGACTAAACGTCAGGCAATCGAAAAAAAGTGCCGTGCTTGTGACGGCCGGGGCTTGTGACTTTACAAACTTGTCCAATAGTATTATTTCGGTCTTTAGTGCATTCCCTTGTTGTATTGATTGAAATTACGGTTGAACCGACGATTTTTCAAAAAAAACATCGACTGCCTGGCGTTTAGTTCTGGGACTAAACGTCAGGCACTCGAAAAATCTCAAAATGCCGTGCTTCCTGCGTTTGAAACTTGTCGAACAGTATTGTTTCGGTCTTTAGTGCATTTCGCTTGTTGTATTAATTGAAATTACGGTTATTCCGACGATTTTTCGCACCAAAAATCGACTGCCTGACGTTTAGTTCTAGGACTAGTTCTAGGMCTAAACGTCAGGCAGTCGAAAATCTCAAAATGCCGTGCTTGTGTTTGAAACTTGTAGAACAATATTATTTCGGTCTTAATTGCATTTTCCTTGTTGTATTAATTGAAATTACGATTGTTCCGACGATTTTATAAGAAAAAATTAGACTGCCTGACGTTTAGTCCTGGGACTAAACGTCAGGCTGCCTGACGTTTAGACACTCCGATAATGTTTTTCTTTGTTTGCGTTTAGCTCTCTGAAATAGCTGATTAAGCCTATTGTT